TATATATATATATATCTTCATAAATTAATATGGCCTCAAGAAATTAGTAACTACTATAGTCTTAAATCTGTAGTCATTAATAAAAATGGAAAACGTGTACCACAGTGAGTCCCACGTGTCTTCAGATTGCCAACATCCACTAGCAAGTATCCTACCAATCTCATGTTAGGAAATTAAGTATGGCAAAAACTAGAAAAGTATATGTAAGCTATTCTTTCCTGAAACATATTTGTAGCAACTTAAAATTCATCTACAGTTACAGTTTCCTGTCCCACAGCCCAGTTCTAATCCCTTCACCTGGAATGGAATTCCAGTCATGCATGTTGGTGCATCCACTTCTCAGTGAGGCACCCTCACCCCCAATTCAGGAATAAATCCTGATTAGTCTAAAGCATTTGTGGAAAATCCACTAAATTTGCTAGTGACTGGCTAAGGGTGTGCCATGTGACATGGTCTGAGCAATGGGATGTGAAGATAATTTTGCTGGGAGCTTTTGAAAAACATTTCTTTCCTTTTATAAAGAGGTAGTGGGCTGGACAGCTCCTTCCACGTGACATTTCCATGCTCAGATGTGATTCTGCAAAACATCTGACCATGTGGGAGAGCAGAAAGAAAGAACCTGGGCTCTCTGTGAAACTGTTGAACTGTTGATTTAATTAATCCATATTCTTCCTATTGTACGAGATAGTAAATTTTCATTTATCCTAACTGGTACACCACTGACCCTCCTCTTCCTGCTACTGCTGGGAATAATGTTGTGCGTTTGAGAATATTACCACGTACCAAGCTCTACCTAAGATAACAGGCCTACAAAGTAGATTCCATTGTTATCCCTATTTTACAAATGAAGACACCAGCTCAGTGAGGTTAAGTGGTTTTCTGAAGGACACACAGCTATTGATGTGTAGGGCCAGACAGACTTTGAATCCACATTTATATCTAGACTATAAACTTTTAACCTCAATGTCACATTGCCTCTCAAGAGTCTAGGATGGAGGAGTGGAATTTTGAAAAATGTATAAAGGGTTATATCTATATCCATAAACTTAGGAACTTGATATATTGGATAACAGACAAGGTATCAAACATAATTCCAAGAATTTTTTAAATTGAGAGACATGGTGAATGCCGTTGAGGTTAACTGAGACTAAGACTAAGAGCAGAGGTTTGGGGTTAGGAATTAGAAATGAAATGTAGCTGAGTATGGGGCCTGTTAAAAGAGCAGTGTCTGAAATGTGTTCGATAGGCAGTTGGGAATGCGAGACCAGAATTTTAGTTACTATTCCATTGCCTTGTCTCGGGGACGGGGGTTATTTAGCAAATGCTTGTGTAGTGAAATCAATTCACAAATAAGCCACCTTTGAAAATGTGTATATGCATGCTCTTTCCCCTGCTTCCAACTTCCACCGCCTCACTCAGATGGATATATAATCAAACATTAATGTAACAAGGAAAGAGAAAATAAAATATCTCTGCTGGAGCATGCTTTCTTATGCACATGTAGCAATAAATAGCAATGATGAAATCCTTTATCTCCAAAGGATTCACTGGTTATATTTTTTACCTGTACATTTTCAAATAGAAATTCAAAGTCAAATACACATCATAAATATCTTTATTCCTTTACTGGTATTTTCAGTTATCTAACTAACAATTAGATCACCCCACAAGGTAGTTTTTCAAGTGCTTAGTGTATATTTTCCCTGAAAGCATTAACTGCAAGGGTCAACAGCCTGATGATGCTTTTGGAATGACAACCAAGTGACAACACAATGCACTGATGCTTCTGCTGCCATCTACGTGTTTTAGGCGCATGAGGCAGAGACGTCAGTGAGACAACCAACACCATGCTCTTGAACAGGAAAGTGTTTTCTCTCAGTGAGATAATTTTTTGCAGTAATAGAGTCAAATTGAGGGGGAAATAGCTTGTTTTAGCAGTGAGACACTTACCCAAGCCTCAAGAGTGACAACACAGTGAGCGTCAACTACTGATAATAAAACCGAAAGTCCAGTCAGCCAGCTGCTGTCCACTTACTCATTTATTCCAGTTATTTGTTTACTCTTGCACCATTTACTGATTATCTCCAAAGTGCTGGGCACTATACCTATGCACGTTTGTTTTGAATGCCAGACTGAAAACAGTCTGCAGACAGGGAGTGTCTCCTGGTCAATTTTACATCCTCTAGGCAGAAGAGAAATGGTTCTTTGAGCTGAAGTCAACTCCACTAGACCCAGGGAAGAGAAGGATCTCAAAAGGAAGTGTGGTCCCTTGGATTCCAGGGTTGCAAATGTACACAGTGGACATGTTAATGGTACATTAGTTGAACAACCAGGTGGCTTTGATGAACTTGGTTTTCAATGGTGTTCATGGTTTTTGCAGGTAACCAGTAAATAAATGAGAT